CCCTTGGGAGAGATAAAGATGGATTATCATAAATACTATCTCTAAGATCGTTAGAAAATGTTACAACATTATTTAGAACGATCCTATAAATTTGAAATTATCTTTACTTCATGAGATGACAGAGTTTTTCGAAATGCATACTAACAAGGTATAGTACTTTTTTCCTCATTTTATGTGGAAAATTATTTTTCCCCCTTCTTTCCAGAGGAGAGTAGTTTCCGTAAATCTTTTAAAATCTAAGGAGGTTTTATTCAATAACAAAATTTGTTTCAGTAAAATTATAGTTTACTAGCTGGCCCGGTCCGCGTTGCCGGCCCGTAGTTTTTGTCTACTATGCATATTTGTCAAAGCAAAATAATTCACAAATATGACTGATATAAGAGTTCAAGTACTGGTCGATTAAAAGTGTTTGTAAATACCTGTACCCATATTTAAGCCGTCTATTAACCCTCAAGGACTATCGCCTGGGTGGAATCCACCCATAAAGCTGAATTTCTTAGAGAAGTTTATAATTTTTCATGAAAATCCTGACTAAATTATAATGTAATCCTCATTTAAATAGTTATTGATATAAAAAAGCATTATTTACAGCTTCTAGTATGGTAATTTTTACATAAAGCAGGTTTTTTGAAAGCCTTGGGTGGTTTACACCCTCGATAGTAATGGTGATCCAAAATTGTGGGTGTTTTACACCCACGATAGTTATCAGTATTGAAATATATCAGTATAAAATAGTATTATATTTTCTTTGGAATTGGTACACAAAAGGTACGGCAGTGGCAGATAATGAATGAAATAGTTATACAGTAAAGAGCGTAAGACACTTTACGCTCACCCCTCTCCTAAACTAAGAATGTGAGCCTACGAAATAAATCAAGAGCGACTGATGGCGCTTTATCAGATGTTGACTTGGTTCAAGAAGGAAATATTGATGATGAAAGCAGTGATGAGGAAATTATGAGCAATCATGACTCTGGTACTGAGCAAGAATTTGATAAAAATGAAGATAATGATGTAGTGCAATACATTGGGAAAGATGGAAGTATTTGGCAAAATGTTCCATTTCCAAAAACGCGAGCAACGGCTGAAAATATTTTCGCAAATGCTCCAAAAGTAACAGCTACGTCACAAAACGTAACTACCCCGTTTGAAAGTTGGGCAATTTTTTTTAATTTTGTGGACCTTGTTGTGGAAAAAGCAAACATTTACATCTTGAAGGTGCAAGTAAAATACAAAGATTTGAAAAATGCACGTTTAACACATAGAGATGAAATAAATGCTTTATTTGGATTGTTGTATATCGGTGGTCTACACAAGTCTTCACATGTAAACGTAAGAGATTTATGGGCGTCAGATGGTACTGGGTTAGAAATATTTATAGCCACCATGTAATTCAATCGATTCTTATTTCTAATGCGATGCATTCGTTTCGACGATGTTAACACCCGTATGAAGCGTCAAAATTTAGATAAACTAGCCCCAATACGAGAAATATTTGAAATGTTCAATCAGAATCGAAAAAGAAAAAAAACTTTTCCTGCGGTAGTTATATAACGGTTGATGAAAAATTGGAAGGCTTTCGTGGACGCTGCAGTTTTAGACAGCAAAGTATGGCATAAAAATATTTTCCGCGGTGGATTCAACAACATATTACACATCTAAATTGGAAATCTATTGCGGCCAACAACAACTGGGTCCATATAATTTATCAAATAAGGCAGAGGCAGTAGTAAGACGAATAACCCAACATCTCCAAAACTCGGGTCGAAATATAACGACTGACAATTGGTTTACGTCTTATAGTCTAGCAGAATACTTGTTGAAAAAAAACTACGCTTGTTGGAACCATGCGAAAGAATAAGCGTGTCTTACCCCCCTCATTTTCTCAACCCAAAAATCGGGAAGTTAAATCAACAATTTTTGGATTTAGAAAAAATTGACGATCTTATCGTACATTCCAAAACGGAATAAGTGTGTTTTGTTGCTCTCTACATTTCATAGAGATGGAAAAATACTGGATGGTCCAAAGTGTTTACCAGAGATTGTTGAATTTTACAATAAAACTAAAGGTGGAGTCGATACGACTAACCAGTTATGTGCTACATATAATGTTGCCAGAACTTCGAATCGCTGGCCTTTGGTGGTATTCTATTCGCTTATGAACTTGACTGCCATAAATACACGTATAGTTTTATTATGCACTAAAAATCCACCACTGAAATATAAAAAGCGATCAATTTTTATAAAAGATCTTGCATTCAGTCTCATTGCACCACAGAAAGAAAAGCGTAGCAAAATTAGCACATTATCAAATATCCTAAAATTAAGCTGTCAAAATTTGCGAAAAAGTTCTGTGCTACATTGACGAACAGCAGAACATATCTCCACCAGCCATAAGACTTAAACAATCCCGCTACCAGGTATGCGGTAATGCAAAGGATCGAAAAAACTAAGACGACATGCTGCAAATGTGAAATTTTTATTTGCAAAAGTCACACCAACCCTCTTTGTACGTACTGCTATGGACCAGCTTTGCAAGATACGAACTTAATCTATGACGATATGTTTACATGCTGTAATGAGTAACTTAAATTTGTAAGTATTTAGATCACGTTTAAGAAAAAAATTTACTTTATGCCAAAAAAAATTATAAAATAACTTTTTCTTTTATATATTCTCAGCTTTCCAAATTATTTCGTTAAAGGATCATGATGCAAAAACTCAAGAAGTTGAAGCTGATTTTGCAAAGTGCATTTTTAATTTTTTTATTTTTTTCTCTAATTGTTATATTCCTAACCAAATCATTAAATAAAATAAAATAAGTGAATTAAACATAGAATTTTGCTGTTTTTCAGTAGTTGGGTATTCATTCTTAAAAACAAATCAATTATTATATAAGTTTCGCTTGTCATTTGAGAAAACCAAATACTAACGTTGTATGGGTGGAAACCACCCATCTATAGTACAGACGTAAGTGAAATAGACGATAGTATTCGAGGGTTAAAAAGTATATATCAATCGTATCCCCATGTAAGGGATCAAATTAATTTTTAATATGGTAAAAATCGTAGCAAAATTTTCCAGTCAAATGAGCAGTAATTTGGAATTTACTGTATTTTGTACACCTCATAATTGTGGGCTGAATGATTTAAGAATAGCCAAAGTTAATTACTTTTTTAAACCCATTAACACCTTAGATTGTGCATTAAAGTCCTCATAAGTCCCCCTAACCATGTCGGTCTGTTTGTTTCGCGTGATTTAAATAAGTAAAAATAGTTTTATCCACCTCATAATTGAGGGCAGAATGATTTCAGAATAATCAAATATAATTACTATTTTACATCTATTACCGTAAGATGGGAATTAATTTTATTTTCCATTTAAATTGTAAGTTGTAGACCCCACAAAGTCCATATTTTTCATTATAGTATAATTCAATGACGTTTCAGCAAACATTCGGTCCCGTGCTACTTTCTTATATTTGTAGCTTGTTCATATTTTCACAATTTATTTCATATAGATGTACATCCCAAATCTATGTTCGCAACCAATATTCACTTAGGGGTTACAAATTCAATAGAATACAAAATTTTCTTTTCTGACCACACATAAGATGTGAAAATGGACTTGGGGATACTCCAATGTGGGGACTTTACTTAAATAAATTCCTATGTGGCAATTATTTGTATGGTGGTTCCCTACTTAGGCTGGCATAAATACTATTTTTTAGCCAAATCAATTGATGAATGTGGTCAAGACCAATATGGAAATTTCAAATTTTACGTGAAGTGGTTATCTACCCCTTAGAAACAAAGATGTCAAATAAGGGCCAAAAAATTAAAAAAGTGGCCAAGACTCCAAAAATATCTTAAATCAAACGATGGTTATATAAATATGAAATCGGGTTGTACCCTTATCAGTGAGATAAGATCGATATCATGACCTGCAAAAGTAATTTAAGGTATCATTCGCTCTACTATTTTGCACCCTTTATATTTGTTAATGTTGATGTCAGTTAACTTCCTATTTCGCACCTATTTAATTTTTTTGGTGAAAAATTCACAAAAAATCCACTGAATTCAATACGATAATACAAATTGGAAAAAATTGACAAAAGAAGAATAAGAAATTGAAAATTGTTCGCTGATTTTTTACAGCAAATGTTTAAAGATCCTTACTAAGTTTGTCAATAGAATTTATTATTTTGAAATTCAATCCCATTGAATTTTTTTTTCGATTTTATCCCGATTTGAGAGTTTTTGCAATGAGATATCTTTTTCGTGATTTTTTAGCGATTTTGAAAAAGTATTTATCTTTTAACTTTGGTGTGACCGCGTAAATTATGTCGATATCATCCATTCCGTTTCGCCACTCAAGAAATCAAGTCAATTAAATAAATTGGTATTAATATTCGAATTCAAAAATAAAATATAAAAAACACTGCAAATGTACATTAGAAAAAGGTAAGTCAAAATGGAAAATCATGCAAAATAAAACATTACTATTTTACATTTTATCACATTGTTACGCGATTTTATTGGATATTATCCTTTTCGGAGAGGACACAATTCCGAATTTGTATGAATCGTTAAAATCAGTCCAGCGGATCTTAAGTTATAAGCGTAGTAACTAACACAACTTACATTTACATTTATATATATATATATATATATATATATATATATATATATATATATATATATATATATATATATATATATATATATATAAGATTACGAACTGTAATTCCATTTAGAATCATAAATTAAATCCAACTTCATTGAAATTTAAGAGTACTATAATTTAAACATTTCCTTTTTGTTTTAATGAAATCACAACAGATGTTGTTTACTCGTTAAACAAAAAACAAAAATACTGACCTATCTACCGAAATGCAATTATTAATTATTTTCTTATATAAATTTCCAGAAATAAATGTATGTGACAGCCGATGGCATTCCTTACTGATGTTTGTATTTCGTGCTTCCTTATAATTTCAGATGATTAAAATGATGGTGACTGTGGTGATTGTCTTTACAATGTGTTGGCTACCGTTCAATATACTGTCCGTAAGTATTCCTCCCGAAGCATGTTTCCCAATGGCATACCTTAATATTTATTTACCTTTTTCACGTCTATAAATATTTGCAATGTGTATGCATTAGGGTGGGTTGTTGTTGTTGTGTGAGTAATCTTTTTTTAGTTTGGGGTTAGTCTGTTCAAATTAGAATGTTATTGAGGAAAGGTGTTTATGCCCAGCCTATGTTAATATACGTGAGCATATACATTTCAAGCCAAAAATTCGCCTAAACAGATAAACGAATTTAAATCCAAAGTTTCTTTAGACGAATTCCGTTTCAGGACATTTAGATTTGATATATCATGTTCCACATCTCTTTCGCTGACAGTGGAACATAAAAGCTACTGTATTCAATCAAATTTTTATTGAATTCCTAGATTCGCAATATCGGTCCAATCCTTCTGTTACCACCCCGAAAAAGCTCGAAATATTAAAAAAAATATATAAATATATATTTCAGTGAATACAGTATCCAATGGGGTTGTAACATCATACTGATATATATTTGTACGACACATCTAATATCTTTCACGAAAGAGGCCAAAATTATAAATAATCATAACTCTAGTTAGCCTATATTACGGATGCAGTTAAAGCTCTCGTGAAATACAACCCCATCTATTTCATCTTATCCGAGACATGAAACTGAACAGAACCTCTGCCAGACCGTAGCAAATAATTTCACTACATTTTACTATACTTGTCATCTAACTATGTACTATCAAACCATCAAGTGGTCAAGAAAGACATGACATGACATCAATGGCGTAGATCAAGAAAACATCATTATGTCGAAGAGACAGGAAGTCACACGAAAATATGGCGAGATCGTCAAAATCAAACGACTGAAATTTATATAAAATTCCATCATGCCAGACTGAGTTAACGGCATTGGTAATGTATTGGGAGGCGGTTAGGCTATTACCAACGAAGCTATTAGTACTCGTTAAGGCGTAGTTCGTGAAGGGGCAAGACCTAAAATCAACCGACAGTCCTATAAGATCCTCCTTTCATTGACGGCTCCACTAATCCTTGTCTGAATAAAAATTTCCAATAACTTTGCAAATTACGAGAGTAAGATAATAGGCGTCTGTTTCTCATTTTGAAGGAGAACTGAATCCGACTTAGTATAAGAACCATCATTATCTTCTTCCAAGCCTAGGAACCCTTATACTGTGAATTGTTATGTAGGACAGAACTACGTCTCCTGCTCTTTTCAACGCTACATCGGAAAGGATATAAGGATGTTTTGCCGGCCATTTGCTTAACGTTGTCATATGTTTTAGAACTGACCCTCGAGAACATTGGCCTTAATGATACATTAAAGGGTTGTGAGACTAGACGTCGCTGCGGATTCTCTGGAGCGCCAACATTTATCTCGAAAAGAATCGCCCTGTAGTCGTGCTGAAAATATTTTTACCTGCAAGTGCCCCATAAACCTAAATATTTACAAGTCAGTGGGTAAAATTTTTGAAAAGTGGGTGTATCGATACTTCATCTTAATTAGACAAGAAAATTAAAATGCGCAATATTCGAACCAAGTCCTCACTTTTATATTTTATTCGCAATAATCAAAAATTGTCTTTCTTTGTGGCAGAGTTACCAGAAAAAGTGGCCCATAAACTCTAAATCTTCACAAGTCAGTGGTTAAAAATTTTGAAGAGGATTATTAAGTGGGTGTATTGATACAGAATCTTAATTAGGCAATAAAATTAAATATTCGAACCAGGTCGTCAGTTCTATATTTTATTCGTAATGAAAGAATTGTCATTCTTTGTGGCAGAGTTACCAGAAAAAGTGGATCGTTATTGCACCTCTTTACAAAAATTTTCAGCCAAATTTAACACCGTTTTATGTGGCATTCCCATAACTATGTGATTCCAAAATATCTTTACTTCATAGATTTTGCAAATATAACTTACCAGCAGTCAAATTACTCTAATATACACACATACCCACCTTATGTTTATACAAGAGTTCAATAATATTAAATAACAATTATTTTAATCACGTGTTGCTTTCTGTTTTCATAGCAACCTCTCGTTTTCTCTCATTGCCTCTTTTTTTCTTTTTCGTTTCTTTCTTTCTTTATTTGCAGCTACTTTTAAATGACGAAGAGGTTCGAAGTTGGGGAGCATTACCGTACGCCTGGTTCGCTGTTCATTGGCTGGCGATGTCACACAGTTGCTATAATCCCATCATTTACTGCTACATGAATGCCCGTTTCCGCGGTGGTTTCCTGCAGATAATTTACCGGGTACCCGGTCTGCGGCGTTGCTGCTGTCTGCGACGATATTTACACACGCGTGGCGATCGTAGCTATGAGACCACTGGTGAGATGACCTTCAAATTCAATCGTCATAGTGGTGGAGGTCTTATCAGGAAACCTAAAATACGAATTAGGTGCCACCATAATTTCTTTGGCAACTTTCACTGTCTATTTTCCTTGTACAATTATACAAGTAGTGATTTCTAAGTTGTAGTTGTTGTTAATGTGTTTTATTTTCCAATTACATATTTCCCTTTTCAATGTTGCATGCCGCCAAACATTGTTGCATGTTCAGTCTCATACAAAGTCGTACATGCACGTTGTTTTGGTCATACCACACACCCTCTTATTTCGAAAATCCCTTAAAGTATGCACATATTTGATATGTTAATTTAATAATAAATGCACTGGAAGAAATTTGTATATGTGTATGTATGTTCGTTATGTTCAATTCGACACTGTACATTTAAAGATTTTTTTAAATGATTCCATCAGTGGATCTTTGTTGGTTCACACATTTGTAATCATTCATGATTTTGTAAACAATGCAAGATATTTGTAGATTATATTCAACAGTACCTATTTTCCCCTTTCGCCTATTTTCTAAATGCCAAAGAATAATGGATAAACCTCCGGAATAGGGTGGAATTTTGTATTTTTTTTTTTTAATTTTTTTCTAAAAACTATGTTTTATACGATGGAGTATCTAAGATTTTGAAATATGGTCCTTCAGTGAAATACTTAAAGCGAGCTTAGTCAGTGGCGAAGTGTTTTTTATTTTTGTCCTTTGTCATTCCGTTTGTAACACCTCGAAATATAAATGTTAGACCCCACAAAGTATATTTTTGATCAGCAAAAGATTTTATATCGATTTAACACTAACGGTCCATCCGTCTGTGTGCCCGCTACCTGTGCGTCCGTCTGTCTTTATTTCCGTATGTGAAAATCACTAAATGTATTTTTATACCCTACACCACATAGTGGTAAGGGTATTATGTCTTTGTGCATTTGTTTGTAACATGGAGAAGGAAACGAGATAGACCCATAGTTACTTTTGAGAACCTTCATAGAATCACTTTCTGAGTCGATTTATGCATGTCAGTCCGTCTGTCCGTCCGTCCGTCCGTCCGTCCGTCCGTCTGTCCTTGTATTCTTGTGAACAAAATGCAGGTCGCATTTATTATCCGATTGAGATGAAATTTTCCAAACAATATTTTTTTGGCCCAAGAACGAACCCTATTGAAATTGGTGAGAATCGGATCAAATTTAGATATAGCTCCCATATATATCTTCATCCGATTTCGGGTTAAATGTGCACCAAATGTCCACTATCAGTCCAAATTACCTGCATTTTGGCACACCCAACCGAATTCGGCCTAGAAGCAAGTATATCAAATTTGGAGAAAATCGGTTCAGATATAGCTATAGCTCCCATATATTTCATCCGATTTGATCTTTAAGTCCCTCACATTCCTACTATGCACTCCACAACCGTGATATTTGGTACCAGGTATTAGATGGAGCACAGAAATAGGTGTTTTAAATTTTATCGAAATCGGTTCAGATTTGGATATAGCTCCCATATATATCTTCATCCGATTTCGGGTTAAATGTGCACCAAATGGCCGATATAAGTCCAAATTACCTGAATTTTGGCACACCCAACCGAATTCGGCCTAGAAGCAAGTATATCAAATTTGGAGAAAATCGGTTCAGATATAGCTATAGCTCCCATATATATATTTCATCCGATTTGATCTTTAAGTCCCTCACATTCCTACTATGCACTCCACAACCGTGATATTTGGTACCAGGTATTAGATGGAGCACAGAAATAGGTGTTTTAATTTTTATCGAAATCGGTTCAGATTTGGATATAGCTCCCATATATATCTTCATCCGATTTCGGGTTAAATGTGCACCAAATGTCCACTATCAGTCCAAATTACCTGAATTTTGGCACACCCAACCGAATTCGGCCTAGAAGCAAGTGTATCAAATTTGGAGAAAATCGGTTCAGATATAGCTATAGCTCCCATATATATATATTTCATCCGATTTGATCTTTAAGTCCCTCACATTCCTACTATGCACTCCACAACCGTGATATTTGGTACCAGGTATTAGATGGAGCACAGAAATAGGTGTTTTAAATTTTATCGAAATCGGTTCAGATTTGGATATAGCTCCCATATATATCTTCATCCGATTTCGGGTTAAATGTGCACCAAATGTCCACTATCAGTCCAAATTACCTGAATTTTGGCACACCCAACCGAATTCGGCCTAGAAGCAAGTATATCTTCATCCGATTTCGGGTTAAATGTGCACCAAATGGCCGATATAAGTCCAAATTACCTGAATTTTGGCACACCCAACCGAATTCGGCCTAGAAGCAAGTATATCAAATTTGGAGAAAATCGGTTCAGATATAGCTATAGCTCCCATATATATATTTCATCCGATTTGATCTTTAAGTCCCTCACATTCCTACTATGCACTCCACAACCGTGATATTTGGTACCAGGTATTAGATGGAGCACAGAAATAGGTGTTTTAAATTTTATCGAAATCGGTTCAGATTTAGATGGAGCACAGAAATAGCTGTTTTAAATTTTATCGAAATCGGTTCAGATTTGGATATAGCTCCCATATATATCTTCATCCGATTTCGGGTTAATTGACCACCAAATGGCCAATATCAGCCCAAATGGCCCGAATTTTGGCACATGTGACCGAGATTAGCCTTAAAGCAAATACAACAAATTTGGAGAAAATCGGTTCAGAAACAGCTATAGCTCCCATATATATGTTTTATCCGATTTGGTGTTTAAGCCTCTCACATTCGTAATATGCACTCCACAAGAATGATATTTGGTACCAGATATAAGATACAGCCCAGAAATAGCTGTTTGTAATTTTATCGAAATCTTCATCCGATTTCGGGTTAATTGTGCACCAAATGGCCGATATAAGTCCAAATGGACTGAATTTTAGTACGTAAGACCGCATTCAGTCTAGAAGCTAATACGTAAAATTTGGAGAAACCCGGTTCAGAGATAGCTATAGTTCGTAAAATGCACGATAGAATTAGATAGATTTTGATTTTGTACCAAATATCTCATAGAGCTCTGAAATGCCATGTATAAACCTTTTTACGAGAGCTCTACTAAGTATGCATAGTGGTGTAGGGTATCATATAGTCGGCCCCGCCCGACTTTTGAGCTTTCCTTACTGGTTTTTTTTTCATTTTATTTTTTTACAGTTTCTTCCTGTTGTGAAGTTTTAAAAGTTCAGCTCGGCCGTATTTATCTGCTTTCTTAATTGTTTTGGTTTGGTTAAATTGGATCATTTTGTAGATCTCTTAATACACAGTTTTAACTAAACACATATTAAAGTTCTGAACCCAATGGTTTCAGAAGATATCTGCTATATTAATTTTATTAATACAATTTTTTTGGAATGCAAAATATTCATATCATACGGATATGCAATAAAACGGATAATTCCAATCCACTTCTTTAAGGTTGTAAATCTCTACATAGTGTTTTTCAATCAGTCGTAGGAAATGATACAAATTCATCATCGTGGTTTTCAAATATAATGAAATGGCCGGGAATTTAAATATCTCCATATATGACACTGTCCGACAAATTTTGTTCCTCGTCTAGATTGAAATTTCAAGAGTTGGATAATCTCAAGAAATTTAGTGAATGCGCCACCATCCGGTGACACCATTGTACATTTCGTGTAGATGGATTTTATTTGCTCTAAGAAATTGAAATATCAGTTAAAAGCTAAATCAATAGGATAATGCGCCCAAGAACTTTGAAATAACTTTAATCTGAGTTTTCCTATCCCCACCGATATAACTTATATAAATGCTATATCAAAAACTTTACCAATATTGATCATTTCTACAATGGTTTTCAGTTACAGAAAAATTAAGATTCTAAAATTCGGTTAAATCAGTTGGAGAATATGCCTAACGCAATTAACTGCAATAGGATATAGAGCGATATGACTGATTTCGTATACCAGGGATTCAAAGCTCAATCTTAAATACTTCTAAGAATAGCATAGAACTAAAGGGACTCTTTATTATACCCTTCATTATAATAGTAGTGGTGTACTAAGTTTACTTTCCGTTTGTAACTTATCGATATAAGCATTTTAAACGCTACAAATTTCATATTTTATAATAACTCATATATTCTTGAAATCACTCTATCTCCGGAACGTAATAAAGCAGGTGGAGAAAAATGTTACTCAAGTGTAGATACACAAGGTTGCGTTTAAAGAAATTGCTTCAGAGTATTTACCACAATTAAGCATTATAACCATTACATTATGCCCTAAAAGTTCATTAGTAAACATATAAGCAAAGGATATAGTCGTACGGGCCCGACCATGTGATACCTTACAACACTACAATATTGTAGAAATATTCTCCAAATCCATTTAGGAATATTTCGCTTTTGAAATTATGTCATAGAGCACTGTCCAGATATTGCCATTAGCTTTTTGACCGGAGACATTTGCCCAATATTTACGCACTCCGCCGTGCTGTTAGTTGTTGTGGTCCATTTTACAGCTAAATATAACTCAATGGTTATGGTTTTTGGTTCATTTAAGCCGCCAAATATTTTGCGATCATCTCCAAATGCAAGAGGCCCTTCTGTATCTCCAAATTTAGACTCATTCATATTATTTGCTTGTCTACGATATATGGTTTATTCAACGAAATCAAAGAAAGCCAGAATTTTGCCATTTGTTCGGATTTCCCCTGTAGCGGTCCATTCTACCCGCTGTCGTAAACTCTAACTTCATGCGTGATTTCGTGTCCTTTGGTTTCTATTTGTGACCTTTGTAACGGCTGCAAACTCAGGAATATTTTTAGTTGTTGGTCCATTTAGAGCTAGATTGACTCACCTCGGCGAGACATTTCGAGGTGTTACATAATTGTTTGTCCCAATCAAACTTATAATACCCCTAACACATAGTGTTGTAGGGTATAAAATGAATTATGCCATTTTTCAAAATTGGACATATAGCAAGATCTTGAGACCCATTCAAAATAAACATGGATAGATATTTTCCAGGGAACAACTTTTAAAATATTTAAATATTAAAATATTCAATATTCTTAATTAAAAAAAAAAAAAATAAACTATAGCTATAGCCGACGGGACTGACAATGTGTTACCACAATTAACGACAAATCGGACGAAGATATAAATGGGAGAAACATCTACAATTTAGCCGATTAACTCCAATTTAATAGGGTTCCTCCTTGGTCCAAACAAATGATTTGTGCAAAATTTCATCTCGATCAGGCAAAGGATGCGACCTGTACTTTTTTTTTAAGAAAAATAAATGGGCAGACAGACGAACAGAACATCAAAAGGAACTTTGGACCTATCAAGCTTCCTTCTCAATTTTAAAGGGTGTAGGATATAAAAAATCTTTCCATAGATAAGTGTTTGTCCTCTAATTATACCCTACACCACATAGTGGTAAGGGTATTATGTCTTTGTGCATTTGTTTGTAACAGGAAGAAGGAAGCGAGATAGACCCCTAGTTACTTCTGAGGATATTCATAGAATCACATTCTGGGTCGATTTATGCATGTCAGTCCGTCCGTCCTTGTATTCTTGTGAACAAAATGCAGGTCGCATTTATTATCCGATTGAGACCCAAGGACGAACACTATTGAAATTGGTGATAATCGAATCAGATTTAGATATAGCTCCCATATATCTTCGACCGATTTCGGAGTTATTGTGCACCAAATGCCAATATAAGTCATAATGCCCTGAATTCTGGTACATTTGATCGAATTCAGTCTAGAAGCAAGTACATAAAAAATCGGTTCAGATATAGCTATAGCTCCCATATATATGTTTCATCCGATTTGGGGTTTTAAGTCCCTCATATGCGCAAAATGCACTCCACAACAATGATATTTGGTACCAAATGTAAGATACATCCCAGAAATACCTCTGCCAAATTTTATAAAGATCGGATCAGATTTGGATATAGCTTTCATATATATCTTCAATCGATTTCGGGATAATTGTTCGCCAAATGGCCAATATCTATCCAAATGACCTGAATTTTGGCACATCCGACCGAATACAGTCTAGAAGCAAGTATACAAAATGTGGTGAAATGTCGGTTCAGATATAGCTATAGCTGTCATATATAAGTTTCATCCGATTTGGTGTTTAAGTCCCTCATATACGTAATATGCATTTGACAACAATGATATTTGGTACAGGATATCTCATAGAGCTCAGAAGTACTTTTGCCAATTTTTAACGGGATCAAATATAATAGTTCCCTCCAATACCAAACTGTAACTGCTCTAAAGCCAAATGCTGATAAGTGGTATGATCTACTTCAAATAAATTCCTTTGTTACGGAAGCTCTACTAAATATGCATAGTGATGTAGGCTATCATATAGTGGGCCCGCCTGACTTTTGACTTTTCCGTACTGGTTTTCAACTGTATAAAGATGTGATGTCGTAATTTTTAAGTTTCTTTGTTCTACTAATCATCATAGTTCTGTAAACAACATGTTCCAGATAAGTGTGTTCTCTAAAAGAACTTTTCATGTCTTCCATGCATATCTTTGTTTTATGTGACCATTTAATTATTCAAATACTGTCATACAATAATGCAGACAGATTATCTTTGTTTTTGATATGAACCACGAGACCATAGGAAATGCCGTGTCTATGCCTTATTTATACAACCTCTATGCGCTAATGAAACTATACTTGAATGGAAAGAAAAGCTAGATCGACTCAGATCATCGGAATAAGAGCAATATTTCGAGGTGTTACAAACCGTTTGGCCAAATCAAACTTATTATACACTCACATCATAGTATTAAAATATGCTAAGTTCAGTGTAGTAATTTACAAATACCTAATTTTGGATAAATATTTAGGGGTAAATTAAAATTACATACATCAAAACGAAGTTGATTTTAATACAAAAAAATTGCACATGGATATTGATAGATCAACGTTCGACGTAAAATCAAATTCACACATGATTGACAAATATAAATACAAAATATTTTATAATTTCTTTATGTTATTATAAATAGAAGTTATTGCTTTAATATTGTGTTGTTTTTAATGTTACATTAATTCCTTTTAATTTGCAGGAACGGACGATGCATTCCACCTGCAGCGTGTGAACACATGCACCACATTCATCAGCACAAGGCGAAAGTTGCGCACGAATTCTATGCAAACGGTATGTGTTAAAAATACAAAGCAGTCTTAAAAATTAGAGATCCTTTTTTTATTATTTATACTTCATAAAATAATTCTTTAAGTATTAAATAGTTGGTCATTTCCGTATTCTTCTTCTTCTTTTTGCAGAGTCAATCTTCATGTGCGGAAACAACGGTGTTGCGGTAGTGCCAGGCCCCACTTAGACACGTTGAACCGGATAATTTGAATAAATTCATGTGAACATGGAAAAAATCAACATCTCTGCTGCACCTGGGAAATTTGTTACTGAAAATCTCGAATATTTCAAACATATTTCGATGCATTTTCTTAGACATAATATTTTGAAACCAATTAGTTAAAAAAAAACATAGGAAAATACATTTTAAAAGTTTCTGATGGAAATTTTCGTTTATTATGCAAGGCAAATTATATGTTAGTAAATATTGTGCGGTAACATTGGGTGATATTCCTAAATTACTTGTTAACAGGTTGAGATACATAAAGTAATTGGCAATCCAATTCGTTATAATGGTAAGGCCATGTGAAAAAATTCCAGGGATGATGCCAATTGCTTTGGGTATCTCCACCTCTAAAGTTCATATTCTCGATGCATAGATCTTTTGTTATGTCGCAATTTATTGTGATATATTTTTTTAAATATTGAGGAATATGCACATTAAATTAGTTCGTTTGAAAAGTTTAAGATTTTAAATTGAAAGGATTTTTTTTTTTTTACTTTACTTTACTAAAAAGCAATTATAACCTTTAATCCGTCCATATCCAAATTCTAATATTTAACAAAAAAAAAAAAAAAAAAAATTCATATGAATCATAAATCTATTGGTCGTGTTTGAATAATTGCAACGCTTATATTTGCTAATACCAATAAAACATACATCAATGTTAAATAAAAGTAAAAGGTGAAAAGTTGGCGTAAACTTGAGACAGGAAACACTACCGCTTTGTTGGGGTGTAGATTACCCTGCGCGGATCGAAGGCCAAATGTAAGAATGAGAAAGGAGAAACTCCTGCTTCGTTAGAGTATAGTTTCAATTCTAGTTTCAAAAATATTTTATTTAAGTACTACTAAAACTAATCTAACTTAACCGCCGCCACACAATTGTTCTTATAAAAGGGGTCATAACATGGCTGGGACAAGCAGCCATTCAAGTGTCTTGGCTACTTACTGGCGCATCGATGTCTGTATTGTGGAATATGACCTTTCACACAATATCATATGCGTCAGCGCACAAGATCACTGAATTGTACACATGCTGCATTTTATGGCAGCTGAAAAAATTAAAATGTTGAAATATTTTCCTTTATTTAATTGTTATATTTTCCCAGCGCATCACCCGACCTCAAAAGTAAGTACAGAGTATTTTTTACACATGGTATACCATGGTCCACACTTTCCCAAACAAATTGTCAAAAAAAAAAAAAAAATATATAAAAACAATAATAAATCACTTTGAAGCCATTAAATGTCATGATATTTGTTACAAATTAACGTCAGGTGAAACACCAACATTTTGAATAATATTACTTCTCATAACAATTGAGATGAGTAACTGTTATTCTCAAACTGGAAAATTTCCTATATTATTTCTCTCAAAATTCAAAAAAAAAAAAAAAAAAAAAAAAAAAAAAACAAGTAAAAAGCTGTAAGTTAGGCCTGGCCGAACTTTGAGCACCCTCCACCAATTGGACCGAATTTTGAAATTTTCAGAAAAATAAAATCCGTTAAAAATTCTGTTAAAATCTTAAAAAAATACCAAATGTAGGTGTTTTATTAGGGTCTATACGAAGACCTGGACCTGCATAGGCAACTTTTATCATAAGCCATTGCAATATTTAAATGCAAAACTTAAAAACAGGTGAATAATGTCGCTAAAATCATCAAAATATCGAATATTGAGAGTTACCATTATATGGTGGCTATACGAAGATATGGACCTCCACAGACAATTTTCTGTCATATACTGTAGTACCCATTACGAACTTCAAATACCAAATTTGAAACAATGCCGGTGAATAATGTCACAAAAATCACCAAAATACCAAATATCGCTAGATACAAAAATATATATAGGGGTCTATACGAAGACTTGGACCTGCACAGAAAATTCTCTGTCCTAGGCTGTAGTATCCATTACAAATTTCAAATACCAAATTTGAATTCCGGTGAATAATGGCGCTAAATTAATCAAAATACCGAATATCGGGTACCGTTATATGGGCGCTATACCAAACCTAGGCCAACGGGTTGCCCATTTTCAATGTCAAAAGTCCTGCAGACATAACATACATTGGAGTAAAATGTTATTAACCTATTTCATTTCGTTCGGAAGCCAGAGTGATTTCCACAGACGGATAGACGCACAGTCCGTCTGTCGTTAAATCGACAAAGAATTTTATGCTGATCAAGAATATATATATACTTTGTGGAGTCTAAAATGTATATTTCGAGGTGTCACAAACGGAATGACAAACTTAATATGCCCTCCATACTGTTGTGGAGGGTAAAAAAACAGTAAAGAAAGGTTTAAAGTCGTGCGGCACCAACTTTATGATACCCTACACCACTTGCAATAATCGCTAGAGCTACCCATAAAAAATAAACGTTTTTATAGAGAATTTATTAAAAGTAAATCATACCAGCCATGATTGTTTTTGAATGCGTATTATGGATTTAAGGCAGTTAGAATAAAGTCGAAAGAAAGTAATATATGTTAGTAATATCGTCATCTGAATCGATTTCTACTAAATTTGGGAATGCATTTGTGCCAGAACCGATATTAATCAAAACCCATCTTATTTGGGCTGATATTACACTTTTTAGGCACAATAAACGTGAAATCGGATTTAGATATATATCCAAATCTGGACCGATCTCTGTAAAATTAAGCAGAGGTATTTGTTTACTGTACTTCAAGTATCAGAAATTTTCAATTTTAGTATCACAAATTTTCTCACAGACGTTGGATTTTATCACTAATTAGACAATAATTGTTGATCTTAAAATATCTGCAACAATTGATATGTTATGATGATATTGCTATTACATTGATATTTTCTTGTTGCAAACTAACAGTTAATAGGCGATATTCGGTATTTTGATAATCCTAGTCACATTTACCCAGGAAATTGTTTCAAATTTGGTGTTTAAGAAAAGAAAAAATTGATGACAATTCTTGAAGTATAAAATTGTCTATAGAGGTTTCCGTTTTGGTATGACCTCCATATAACGGCCTCACCCACTTTATTGTTTTTGGCCAAACTTAATGTTTTTTAATTAGAGGATAAAAACTGTCCGTGCCAAAAATGTTCAATTTAAGACAATTATTTAGTACAGGTCCTATGCTGCAGTTTTTCGTGATATTAGATTTTGATAAAAGGTTTCATCCAAAATTTTCAACGGATTTGTATGAAAATCTACAATACGAAATTTTTGTAATATTGCTCTGTATTTTGATATTTACCTTCTATAGAGATTAAACGGTCCGTATTCATATATTTGGGCTTGGTAACAATTTCCATCCGAAAAAGGTACATTAAAATCTTAATTGGCAAAACCACATCCTCACAAAAATTGTTCAATGTAGGATCGAGTTTGGAAGAGCCCAATGTAAAGATTCTCCTATACAATGAAGGCCCTATCCAAAATATGACTCCATAACTATGATCTGTAGAGTGACTTCAAAATCAAGAAATAAATATATTTGGGCCCATTTTATCTATTTTTTGTATTTAGATCTCATCAACTCTTGGTGGTAGAGCCGAATTGCGACACGGAACATAATTTCCGAAATTGACGACGATATAACAACAATTTGTACTAATGCTAAAAGGTATCATGGTACAAAGAGGAGGTAGATCAGCTTTGTAAGACTACAGATATACAGTCCTTTAAATTAAAAAATTAAAATTATGTGGATCAAGTTGTTTTCATTTATTTATTTCTAAAGGCTCGATTTTCTTCCTAAAATATGATCTTACCTGTTCAATATTTGGATTCCATGGCAAACCTGTCTAATATCTTTAATACGCGTCCGCAATGTAAGATTCTTTCAATCATTGATTAAGAAAAATGTATCTTTTATACCCTCCACAATTCTACGGAGGGTATATTAACTTTGTCATTGCGTATGTAACTCCTCAAAATATTTATAATAGACCCTATAAAGTATATATATTCTGGATCAGCTTAAAATTGTGAGACATACATCTGTCTGTCCGTCCGTCTGTCTGTTGTAATCATGCTATCTTTCGAACGAGGTATAAAGGTACTTCCCAATATTCGGTATATTCATGATCTTAGCGACAAAATTTACCGGAATTATTAAAAATTTCGTATTTGAAGTTCGTAATGGGTACTACAACCCATGACAAAAAATTTTGTATGCAGGTCCAAGTCTTCGTATAGCGCCCAACGGTAGATCCCGATATTCAGTATTTTGTTGATTTCACCTACATTATTCACCGGAATCGTTTCAAATTTCGTATTGGGAAGTCTTAATAGTTACTACAACCTATGGAAAAAGTCTTTTGCAGGTCAACGTCTTCGTATATCCCCCATATAACGGTACATTCCTATATTCGGTATTTTGATGATTTTAGCGACATTATTCACCGTAATTGTAACAAATTTCGTACTTAAAGTTCGCAATGGGTACTACAGCCTATGACAAAAAAAATCGTTAGCAGGTTCACATCTTCGTATAGTCTCCATATAACAGTTTTCATTCATTTAAGTGGTATTTTCCGGAAGTATTTTGAAAAATTTTAAGTTCCTTTAAAATGGTAGAGGGTATTAAAAGTTCGGCGCGGCAGAATTTAACTGCTTTTTTACTTGTTTTTTTTTTTCAAAACAATAAACACATACACAAAATTGGAAGAAGTCGGGACATGACATTTAATTAGCCTTTTCATGTACTCGTTTGACGAGAGTATGTCCATCAAAAAATGGAATTTGTTTATGTTGTATATACACTGAAAAGCACAGTGTTATAGGTATTTAGAATTTTTTACTATCCACACAGAGTTGATTGCTTCGAAAATTTAAGAAAAAGTTGGATATCTTACGGCTTCCTTTAAACCAATGCAAATACACAACTCGAACCATGTATTCAAAAGGAACTACTTTCATTAAGTTTAGCTCGTACTAAATACTGTACCAAACCGTTGGACCATACACATTTTATGCTTTATAAGTTGGGAAGTCATTGATTACCCTCCTTTTAATTTATCAGTTTTATATTGCTATATCAAATATTTCCATACAAAGAAATTGATACATAATTTCGAAATAACGTTTCCATTTGCATATAATATTTTGGATGAAATCTACTTTGTTCGATGTCACATCCCTCGCATTTCTCAATGTTGACACACATTTTCGTTACGGCGAGCATCGACAATGTTGTGATAGTAGAAACCTGAAAAGCTGAATATGTGTAATATTGAATTTGTGATTGGGAAGATACTGATTGCAGTCGTCGCATTCCGTCTATGTACATTATTTTAATTAAAAATTCCATCTATTTGAGGGTCAAAAGTTTCCATCAGAAACCGTTTATATTTGCAACTGTAAATAGCTATATTTAAATGTAGGTAGGTAGGTGACAATGTATGTATGTACGTATCTGTGTTATAGACAAATTTTGAAAATGTTTAACTGTTT